GAAACATCGATGAGAGAGAAACATCGACCAGCTGCCTCCTGCACACCCCCTACTGGGGATGTGCCCGCAACCAAGGTACATGCCTTTGACCGGAATTGAACCTGGGACCTTTCAGTCCGCAGGCCGACACTCTATCCACTGAGCCAAACCGGTTTTGGCAATAAAAATGTTTTTAAAAAATTAATAAAATAAAATAAAGGGTGACTGTCTGCCCTCTCCGGCTTGAACACCGACCTATGAACCTGGAGTTCAATAAATCATACAGATGCTCCTTTGGTAGATAAGGAAAAATTCCTTGTGCAGGACTTTTCATTTATTTATTTTCACTTTTTCATATATTTGTATTGATTTTAGAGAGGAAGAGAGAGGGAGAGAGAGAGAAACATCAGTGAGAGAGACTCATGGATCGGTTGCCTCCTGCACGCCCCCTACTGGGGATTGGGCCGATAAGCCAGGCGTGTGCCTTGACCGGGAAATGGAACTGTGACCTCCTGGTTCATAGGTGAACACTGGGCCACGCCGGCTGGGCATGCGGCCTGGTTTTAAATTCCTAGGTCTTCCCCACAGTAGTGCTCCACCGCTGTGTGTGTGTGGGATCGCATGCCTGCAAGTGTGGCCACGATGCTTGCGTGTGCCTGGGGTCATCTGGAAGGAGGGCTTGTGGGGAGGCTGAGGAGGACAGGGCACGGGTCCTGCAGGAGAGAGGCAGACAGGTGCCCGTGTGCCTACAGGCAAGAACCGGCCACCCCAACTCAGGTGGGGCCGAGTGGGAGGGAGGGGGGACAGGGGAGGGCTCTCTGGACCAGAACGGACTGGGGACCTTTCTCTGAGAGCAAGAGGGATCCACTAACCAGTTTGGCTCAGCGGATAGAGCGTCGGCCTCCAGATCGAAGGATCCCGGGTTCGATTCCGGTCCAGGGCATGTACCTTGGTTGCAGGGCCCTGGTCAGGGTGTGTGCGGGAGGCAACCAATCGATGTGTCTCTCCTTTCCACTCTCTGAAAGTCAATGGAAAAATATCCTCTGATTTGCTTTGGATTTTCACACGTACATTCCTGAGAGATTGGCCTGTAGACTTTCTTTCCTTTCTTCTTAGGGAGTTGGTAGGAGCCGGGCCTGTATGGCTCAGTGGCTGAGGCAGGAGGTCAGGGTTCGAAACCCAGGCAGGGCACATGCCCTGGTTGCGGGGGGGCGGCTCGATTCCAGTGGGAGCCTGCAGGAGGCAGCCAGCCCATCAGTGATTCTCTCCGTGGTTGATGTTTCTCTCCCTCCCCCCCACATCCCTCTCTCTTTCTCTCCATGTCTGTGGGAGACTCGCTTATGACCAAGCCTGACCAGAATGTCCATGAGACGACGCTCACCTTTCATGCCCCTTAGTGAGAAGGTTCGATGCCCCCGCAGACAAGGGGTGTGTGTGAGGATGGCCCCTCGCTCCTGCCCAGGGGGGCTCACCAGGGCCCCCTGTGAGGGTGGTGCCGGCGGGCGGGGCTGGGCTGGGCTGGGTGGGGAGGGGTGGGGAAATGCTTTTCTTTCTCACCTTAGAATCCTTTCCACTCCCTCAGCCTCAGCACACACTTCACTCTCCACCCCTTGGGAAGCACATCAGAGGCAGCAGTGCTGACAGCCGAGCCCCACAGCAGCTCAGCGTCGGGCCAGGATCACCCAGCGTGAACGTCTGTGTCCGAGAGGAGGTGAGTCTCGGGAAGGGAAGGCAACGTTCCCCTGGTGTGTGTGTGTGTGTGTGTGTGTGTGTGTGTGTGTGCACAGGCATGTGCATGTGGGCTGGGCTGTGAGGACAGGGTTCCCAGGGACACAGAGAGGGGGTCTCCGGCACCGGTAGGTCTGGGCTGGCTGTGGCCCTAGCTGGGCAGGAGCTGGCTGGACTGCAGGGGACGCCCCCCACCGGGCAAGTCTGTGTGTGTGGCTGTTGTCCTGTTCGTTGTATGTTTCTCGGAACCCATTTTCATGGCATGTTGGGAAGCTGTTGGTCCCTGGCTTTCGGGTTGAGGATGGGGGTGAGGGTAGAAGCTGACATTTAAAGGGTGACTGTCGACCTAACTGGTTTGGCTCAGTGGATAGAGCGTCGGCCTGAGGACTGAAGTGTTCGATTCTGGTAAAGGACACAAGCCCTGGTTGGGGGCTCGATCCCCAGTGGGGGGCGTGCAGGAGGCAGC